TGTAGTAGTAGTAGTAGAGCCAATACCTAGTGGTGTATTAATGATTATTATATCATACCTATTATTAGTAGTACTACTACCCATTGGTATGGTATTATACTCCACATTAGGAGTATAGTTCATCATGTTCTTGTTGTTGTTGTGTATTAGAGATGATGGTGGATAGAATGCTAATAAGTATGCATGTAGGAATAATCTAGGACACCATTGTATATCCTCATTATATTGTCTATTACTTATATTATATCTATCATCATTAATACTAGTAATACTATTGCTGTTAGTATTATTACCTATAATCAGATACAATAGGATGACCAATATGATACATATGTAATCTTATTTGATGTGTTCTACCAGTAGGTATCTCTACTTCAAGTAAAGATACCTTTTCTTGTGCTATAGAGTATCTAGAGTCCAATAATACACTTACAACTAGTAATAATAACAACAACAACAATCTTATTATTACTTATTCTTCTTAACATTAACAGTATATCGTTTAATAAGTTTCCATTTTGTAATAGCATTCTTTCCTCCATGAGTAACAACATAACTTCTTAAAGATGATTGTTGTTGTTGTTGAGTTATATTGCTACTATTATTATTAATAATAGTAGAGTAGGATGATGATGATGATGATATTGGAATATGTTTACTTCTACTATTACTACTAGAAGAATAAGTCTGAATATTAGTATCAATGATACCACTATCCTCATCCATATGACCATGTACCAAACATATGTATCTTATAACCACGATTATGACCATAATAATAATAACAACAACAGTTATTACTTTTTAAGTATAGCCCTTTTCTTGAACTGATGTCGTAATTGATAGTATGCTGCATAGGTATGTGCTACCATAATAATACCACTTGTAAATATATCTAATCTATGAATAAAACCACATTGTACTCTCTTATCAGAATTAATATTCCCAATATTTAAATACTTCTTAACATAATCAATCTAATAATAATAAGGAGTAGAAGTGTTATCATTTACTATATTACTTACAGCACTGCATGATTTAGTTCTAGTAGTATCCACAGCAATAGTAGTAGTAGCAGCTTGATTATTATTATTATTATGATCATCATCACTAGTACAAGAGTATCCAGGAGGTTTATATAATATACTTATACATGGTAAAGTATCCCTATCATGAACGATAATGACAACAACAACAACAACAACATGGTGATGATGATAGTGATGATGATGTTATTGTTGTTCATATTATTATTATTACGTTCTAAGATGTAGTGGTATATTGGTAATAGGTGTTGGATTATTCCCTTTATTATCATATGTAGTAGTTATATTGTATAGCGATACCTCATGCTCTATATCACATGTAATAAGGCGGCTGTTGTTGTTGTTATGTAATAGATCACCAATAGGCCTCCCCAATGGATATCTTATTCTATTATTATTATTATCATACCATCCATCCTTATTCAACAACACCTTATTCCTATTCTTTTTACTTATCAATGCATTACTATTCCTTCTTACCCTAACTGGTGTTGGTATCATTATCCTACCAACAGTGGTACCATTAGATAATGATGAAGAGGAGGAAGAGGAAGACAATGGCATGATGAATACTGATGAATACTACTACTAAGACAATCCAGTCAATGTTATGATGATGATGATGATAAGTTGATGAACTTAATTCAACATAAGATGTTAGGAAAAGATATATTCAATAATAGTGAAGACACTACTTCTCCTACTACTACTCATTACCATAATCGACTATTGCTACTACTACTATTATGATCAGTTCACCATCACATTAGGTCTCGTACAATTCCTACTCCACTTCTTCTTCTTCTTGTTGTTGTTCATCACACCATACAATAGGATAAGTCTGAGTCATCTTCCATCCCATCCATACTAACAATAATACCAATACCATACATTATTATTATTAATTATTATTATTACCTCCCCAACATATGATAACAAACTTAAGACCATCCCAAGTACGTTGACCTTGCCTTAATGACCATTCCTTATCAGTAAATGGTATTAATTCCTTCATCCTATCAACTGTATTATTAGGACGATAATCACTACCATCAGGCCCTTCATACCTATAATACTACTACTACTACTCCTGACTGTTGTTGTTGTTATTATTACCATCTTCCAATATGTAGTGTACCTCTGGCCTGTTGTCTTCTCCAATCAATTGATGGTTTCCTATACTTTTGTGATGGTATAAAACGTTGTTCTATATTATCCTT